TCCCTGCTCTATACAAAACAGTTGGCATCATTTTGGTAAAAATAATGTGGGCCCCGGTTTCAGATCTGCCTCCTCTGTGTTAAAAAATAACACGCTAAGAGGGTTAATATTACCTACTTTTTCATTTTTCAAGGAAGTTGGTCTGCAGTCAGCTCCCTAGGCAAAGCAGGAATGAAGACCCCAAACGGGAAAGCAGACAGACCGACAGACGTGCGTCAAACCAAGCAGTCGGAAAAGCATGAAATACTCCGTCAATGTATTTTATTTCAGAATCTAGATTCAGCAACGTGAAAGGCGTTCGGATCCAGAATTTGAAATATTTAGATAGTCTTTGGCTTACGGCCCCAATTGAGCTCAAAATTTATGTTGCTAAGCAAGACATCTGTTCAGTGGGTTTTGCTCCCATTTTACCACCTTTTCTTGCCACCTGGATTAGTCTTACGAATTGACACACGTCAGTTGCCCCTTTTTAGATATTCCATCAGGTCTTGTGCATGGATTAGGGCACCTGAGGCCTTTCTCCCCATTTGCAGATCTTGGACCGTAGAGCTGAAGGCCAGGAATCCACAGGATGGAACCTGCGGCCGCCGAGCGTGGCAAAACTGAACGCAGATTTACAAAATTGGCCGCAGCAGCTATTCCCTTTCAATCTTCTCTTTAAAACGGGCTTCCACAATTCATTGTCTAATGTTTCTACACAATACACTTACACAGGGGTGGGATTCAAAAATCCCAACAACCGGTTCGCTGCCCGGTTGCTGGGGTGGGCAGGCCATGGCGGGCGAGGCCTACCAGAACTTCCGGGAGGCCCATTTTTCACCTTCCCCAGTCTGCAGGCTTCCCTCAGGCCTCGGGGGGGTGGGGTGAAAATGGCCTCCCGCGGAGTCCGGAGACCCTCCGGAAGCTGGAAACAGGCCCGTTTCTGGACTTCTGAAACTTCAAGTGGAAGGGCTACCCCTTATCAGAGTCATCATGGGTAAAGAGTAGGAACGTCCAAGCCGATCGCCTTGTAGCAAGGTTTCATGCAGAAAATCCAACCAAGCCTGAGGTTTTGTGAGCATAAGCTTCCATATTTGCAATCAATTTGTTTCAAAAAGTGAGGGGAGCCGAATGTCAACTCATAAAACATTTTGTACACAAGTTTTATAGTTGTCAACAGAAAGAAGGGGAGCCATTTTACCCCCTCCCAGAGCCTCCGCACGGACCCTGCCCTTACCTGCATCCAAAACAGGCCACGTGGAGATGCCTGGGAGGGGAGGGGAGGGGAGGGGAGGGCATGACCAGCCAGTCGGTTCAACTGTCGGTTCGGCGAACCAGATGTAAATTTAACACCCGGTTCACCCGAACCGGTCCAAACTGACTGAATCTTACCCCTGCACTGACTTTGTTGGCCCGCCACAACAAAGAGACCTTCCTTTAATTAACCCTATGCTCAGTTGACGGATCTTACCAACCTCTTCCGGTGTTGCCACGAAATTGATTGCGGTGTAATAGCGATCATCTTCTTGGGAGAGGCTGAAGGTGAACTGATAGTCGATGAGAAGGGTATCTACGTGGAAGCATAAGCAAGGGAGAGTTAGGAGATACGGCCTCGGAACAGGAGTCCTTGCCTTAGGACGGCAAACCGAGCCTCACATTTCTGTTGCTAAGTGAGCGTTGCCCCCATGTGATGATCTTTCTTGTCCCGGCTGTTAAGCGAATCCCTGTAGCTGTTAAAGTTACACGGTCGTTAAGGGAATCTGGCTTCCCTGTTGACTCCGCTTGTCGGAAGGTCACAAACAGGGGAATCGCGTGAGCCCGGGGACGCGGCGACCGTCGTAAATATGAGTCGGTTGCCAAGGGCCTGGATTTTTATCACGTGACCACAGAAGGATGCTTCAACTGTCAATGGGCGTTCCATCACTTTTTTGGCGGGTGCCTGTGTAATACTGAACAATCACTAAATAAAATGGCTTTAAATCAAGGACTACCTATATAAGCCAAGAGCAAGCAGAAGGCAAGTGGCTTACAAGTATTAATATTTATTTGTTTATTTGTTTATTTATTAAATTTCCATGCTGCCCATCTCCTCCACAATGTCACTCTGGGCAGCTTACAAATGATAGAAACAAGTCAAAAACAATAACACAGATTAAAAGATTCAAATGAACCAACATTAAAATCTTATTAAAGGCTGCGATAAGACATTCTTAACTGTGTGTTGTTTTCATCTTTTAATAGCTCTTTTTAATGGTTTTATCACCCATTAACCGTCCGGAGTCATGGGGTAGGAGAGATAAGCGGTGGCATTAACATTTAATAAGCAAATAAATAAAATAAAATTAAATCAACTCGCTGATGAGGCCTGGTGGCGCAGTGGTTAGAGTGCAGTATTGCAGGCTAATTCTGCCAACTGCCAGCAGTTCAAGTCTCACTGGCTCAAGGTTGACTCAGCCTTCCCTCCTTCCGAGGTGGGTAAAATGAGGACCCAGATTGTTGGGGGGCAAGAGGCTGGCTCTGCAAACTGCTTAGAGAGGGCTGGAAAGCACTGTGAAGTGGTATATAAATCTAAGTGCTCTTCCTTCCTTCCTTCCTTCCTTCCTTCCTTCCTTCCTTCCTTCCTTCCTCCCTCCCTCCCTCCCTCCCTCCCTCCCTCCTTCCTTCCTTCCTTCCTTCCTTCCTTCCTTCCTTCCTTCCTTCCTTCCTTCCTTCCTTCCTTCCTTCCTTCCTTCTGTCAGTTTTCCAAGTGATGAAATCCATTTAAAAAGAAAAGCACAAAGCCCATCTTCTAAAAAGATTTCTTTTATTTAGGAAAGCATCAAATTGGCAAAGTCCATGGTAATTCTGGATCTGACACAACCCGGAATTACCCCACAACACTAAAAGTTAGAAACAACCCCCAAAAGTCACATTCTACAATAGAAATAATTCAACGTTGCTTGATGTCATAAATCTCCACTTCATGGGGCCCCAGCATGGACAGCTCGTTTCCCACGAGAAGAAGAATCACCTAGCCTAAACAACTCTCTCTTTATCTCCACTCCTGCCCACTTAGGAATGTGGCAATCCCGAAACCCTTCCCCCCATGACCGCCAAAGAGAAAGTAAGAAAAAGAATATATACTAAGCCTAACTAAAATGGCTACACATGTCAATTTCGGGCTTGACACCTTCCTTCCTTCCATTTCTCATTCTCCTTTCTGGTGGCTCGGTGGTTAGAATGCAGTATTGCAGGCTGATTCTGCTGACTGCCAGCAGTTCGATCCTGACCGGATCAAGGTCAACTCAGCCTTCCGTCCTTCTGAGGTCAGTTAAATGAGGACCCAGATTGTTGGGGGGCAAGAGACTGACTCTGTAAACTGCTTAGAGAGGACTGTGAAACACTATAAAGCGGTATATAAGTCTAAGTGTTATTGCTATTGTTCTTCCTTTTCTCCTTCTCTCCTTCCTCGCTCCTTCCCATCCATCCATCCATTTATCCATCCATCCATTCTCTTCGCTGATAATCTAAAGCTATGCAACACCACAGACAATACTGCTACCCTTCAAAAAGACCTCGACTATGTATCAGAATGGTCAAACAAATGGCAACTTCAAATCTCAACAAATAAATAATCTGTCCTACATATTGGGGGGAAAAATCAGAAAATAAAATACAAGCTGAATAGTCAAGATCTTGTTGATGATCCAAGCTCTGTAAAGGACCTTGGAGTACTCATCTCTAATGATCTAAGTGCTAGAGCCCACTGCAACTACATAGCCAAAAAGGCATTCAGACTTGTTAACCTAATCCTACGTAGCTTTTCCTCTGGTAATATCACACTACTAACTAGAGCATGCAAAACATTTGCCAGACCAATACTCAAATACAGCTCATCAGTCTAGAACCCACATTACCTATCTGATATTAACACAGTTGAGAAAGTCCAGAAATATTTCACAAGAAGAGTTCTCCACTCCTCTACTCGTTGCAGAATACCTTGTGCCTCCAGACTCGAAATTCTAGACCTAGAAAACCTAGAACTACGCCGCCTTTGGTCCGATCTAAGTATTTTATATAAAATTATACATTGCAATGTCCTATCTTTCAGTGAATACTTCAGCTTCAACATAACAATACAAAAGCACACAATAGATACAAACTCAGGGTAAACCGCACCAAACTCGATTGCAGAAAATATGACTTCAGCAACGGAGTGGTCAATGTCTGGAATCCTCTACCTGACTCTGTGGTTTCTTCCCCAAACCCCAAAAACTTTAACCTTAAACTGTCTACTATTGACCTCACCCCTTTCCTAAGAGGTCTGTAGGGGGCGTGCATAAGCGCACCAACGTGCCTACCGTTCCTGTCCTATTGTTTCTTTTATATTTTTCTTATATGTATTCATTTCGTGTATTCATAACTATGTTTTTACTTATACCTATTAACTTGTAAGCAATTGACATAAATAAGTAAGTAAGTAAGTAAGTAAGTCTAAGTGCCATTGTCCTTTCCTTTCCTTTTCTTTTCTTCCTTCCTTTCCTTCCCAGTGGTTAGAATGCCGTATTGCAGGCTAAGTCTGCCCACTGCCAGCAGTTCGATCCTGACTGGCTCCAGGTTGACTCAGCCTTCCATCCTTCCCAGGTGGGTCAAATGAGGACCCAGATTGTTGGGGGCCAAAAGGCTGGCTCTGTAAACCGCTTAGAGAGGGCTGGGAAGCACTATGGGGTGGTACAGGTAGTCCTTGACTTACAACCATTCGTTCAGTGAGCATTCGAAGTTACAACAGCAAGGAAAAAAGCGATTTAGAAGGGTTTTTCACACTTACGACCGTTGCAGCATCTCCATAGTCACATGATCAAAATCCAGACGCTTGGCACCTGATTCACATTTATGACGGTCATGGTGCCCTGGGGTCACGTGAACCAGATTCATTTAACAACTGTGTTACTAGCTTAACAAACATAATGATTGTGGCAAGAAAAGGTCATAAAATGAGGGAAAACTCACTTAACAAATGTTTCCCTTTGCAACACAGATGTTGGCCTCGACTGTGGTCGTAAGTTGAGGATTCTCCCTGTATTCTGTTTAGTAGAAGAAAGCAACTGAAAGAGCCTTCAACAATCTAGCAACGCTGCGCACTATGTTAAATCTCTTTTCACGGGCTGACGTTATCCGAGACAGGGAGAGAATGCCGATTAAGGATGAAGGCCAGCCTTGGGGAGGAGCTCGGCCCCATCAGGACCGGACGTCCTCTGGATTTGTGGGATAGCCTCTTTCCCCTTAAGGCCAGTTTGTTTTCGGAGGCATTTAATTTCTCCGGTGAGCCCTTTTTTTTTTTCCCCTTTTTAAAATTCTGTTTCTATCTGGCGTTCTCTTTCCATTTGAGCCTCTAATTGGTTTTTAATGTGTCGTTTGATGGCGGGAAATTGGGTTTGGCGCGCACGGTTGAGATTAAAAGGGGGGAATGAAAGGATGGCCGAGCAAACAAAACGTCTGGATATTGCCGTTAAGAGGAAACGGGTTGGTCTGTTTTTACTTTTGAGAACCTCCTAATTTTAAAAAAAATGTTCAATCTGTGTTCATTTGCCTACACTTTGGAAAGTCGGAACTGGGTTTGCAGGCGTCGTGCGGTGATGACCGCGGCCTAAACTTCCTTGGGAGAAGAAATCCTGCCAGATTTGCCTCCAGTTTTAGAGCTATAGGCAGGGGAGGGATTGTACCGGTTCGGACCGGTTCAGACGAAGCCCTTGCTCCAAAGATCAGCCGGCAGCAATTTCCTGTGATTTATTTCGGTTTTTTAGAGCAATGGTCGACAACCGGTGGGCCGGGGACCACTGGTCGTCTGTGAGGAAATTTTGGTGGTCCGCAGAGAAATGTTCCCCCCCCTCCCAAAAGCAATTAATCCAGGCTGTGCAGAAACACAAGGCTGCGCCGCCCACATGGCCCGCGGGAACACAAGGCTTGCGTCGCTTGCATTGCGAGCAACACGAGGTAGTGAGGGGAGGGAGAAAAGGGCGAAGGGGGGGGACTTGTCCCACTCACCCCACGTGCCTGGTCAGGCCACCGGGCTGCTTCTTTTCGCTTCTTTCTTTTTCTGCTTTTGGCTGCACGCAAGGAAAGCAGCAAAAGTCTTTCTTTCTCTCGCCCAAACTCCACCAGAAATGAGTCTTTGGGACCCTGCAAGGCCTCCTGCTCCAAGAGGCTGCACTGGCAAAGACTCGTTTCTGGAGGAGTTTGGGGGCGAGAAAGAAAGACTTCTGCGGCTTCTGCTGCTTTCCTTGCATGAAGCCAAAAGTCTCTCTCTCTCTCTCTCTCCCCCTGAGAACGGAGCTGGAGACGGTATCCTGCGATCCCAAATAAAGAACGATCGATCGGTAGAAAAACAGGGTGGGGGATTTTCCTACAGACTTTTTTGGGGATTTTCCCAGGGTCTCTGGTCCGCGGGATTTAAAATTATGCATTTGGTGGTCCCTGAGGTCCAAAAGGTTGGAGACCCATTTTAGAGCATGGCTGATTCACAGGGATTTGCAGTAGAAGGTAAGTATTAGAGCTTCTTTAAACACAGAGCGCACAATTACCGAACCAGTTGTTATACCGGTGGAATCCCACCCCTGGCTACAGGTACTCGACTTATGACCACAACTGAGTCCAAGATTTCCGTTTGTTGAGTGAAACAGTGGTTAAGTGAATTTTGCCCAATTTTATGGCCTTTCTCGCCCTGGTGGGTAAGCGAACCCCTGCAGGTGTTAAATTAGTAACCCAGTCGTTAAGTGAATCTGTCCTTCCCCGTTGACTTTGCTTGTCAGAAGGTTGCAACAGGGAAATCCTGTGACCGTCATAAACATGAATCAGTTGCCAAGGGTCTGAATTTCGACCGTGTGGCCAATGGGGACGGGTGCAACGTGAAAAAAAAGGTGGTTAAGTCCCTTTTTTCCAGGGCTGTTCTAACTTCGGTCACTAAACAAACCGTTGTTAAGTCGAGGATTACTTAGAGTGGAGAACCAAGATCATCAGAGGAGATCCTGTTGCTTAAGACTGACAGCAGCTGAACAGCTTTGGATGAGGGAATCGTCTTTAGGACTAGCCCAAAGTTTCTTCAACCGTGGCAACTTGAAGATCTGTAGACTTCAACTCCCAGAATTCCCCAGCCAGCAATTGCTGGCTGGGGAATTCTGGGAGTTGAAGTCCACACGTCTTCAAGTTGCCACGGTTGAAGGAACGCCGGTCTAGAATGTGTCTGATGGCAAGTTACACCTTTGCCTGGGCCTTCCCGGGACAAAAATCACACCAAACAATCCCCACCCCCAACAATTTTACAATCAATCAATCAATCAATGCATTGGGGAGAACATATTAATCAATTGGAGCTCCATCTGCACTTCACGGATTACAACGAACGTAACTGGAAGTTACGCCCGTTTTTTGTCCAAACCACTCCGTAGCAAATAATGGGCTCACTTAATGACTGTGGCGTCTGTTTCACGAGTACTGCGTTCATTTAACGACCACTGCCAAACAAGTCATAAGTGTTTGGGCTGCTCGTGGGACTGACCCAATTGATGACTGTCATGACATGCGAGTGAAATGGGCAAGCTCCTTCACAATCATATCTCAAGCACTTCCTGTATGCATCCAGCCATCTCTCCATCTCTCTATCCTTTACATCTATCTGCCTCCCTGTCATCTAGCTATCATCTCACTATCTACCTATTTAAATATCTGTCTATAATCTATCATATCTGTCCATCTGTCTATCACTATCTCTATTATCTATCTTTCATCTATCATCTGTCTGTCATATCTGTCTGTCTATCACTATCATCTATCTATCATATCTGTCTATCACTATCTCTATCATCTATCTATCATATGTATCACTATCTCTATCTGTCTATCATCTATTATCTATCATATCTATCTATCTATCACTATCATCTATCTATCTACCTAGCTGTCTATCCATCTATCTATCCATCCATCTATCTGTCTGTCTGTCCGTCCATCCATCTATCTCTATCATATGTCTGTCTATCACTATTTATCATCTATCTATCTACTGTATCTATCTATCATATCTATCTATCACTATCTCTATTTATCATTTATCTGGCTATCTGTCTGTCTATCACTATCTCTATTCATCCATCCATCCACCTCTGTCTATAAACATGTATATGGCCACCCACTCACTCGCAGTGTCTGAGTGTTATTTTACAAAAGAAATAAAAGCCCAACAGTAATCCCCTACTTTTACTTGAAAGTAGGTGAAGGGAGGAAAGAAGAGGGATAAAAGAAACCTGCAGAGACCTTAGCTCAGTGACCTTGACCAAAAGAGAGACAGAGAATGAGAATGAATTCAAAACGGCCATAAAGCAAGTCCCATCCAGCCTCTTCCCTGCTCTGCTGCTAGATCACTTGATCTATAAATCCTGAACAGCCCAAAGAAATGTAATTTCCACTCACAGTAGCAGGTTCCTTTGAGAGGGTTACCCTGGTATCGATTCTCGACTTCACACCTGGAGGAAAAAAGCATTAAAAGAATTGGCCCCTGGTCGTAATTCTTTCATGTACACGAAACTTTTATTTCTCCCCTTGATTTGTACCCAGGAAAAATCTGAAATAGCAGCAGGGTGTTTTTTTTTTTGGGTTTTTTTTTTGGGTGTGGGGGGGGAGTAGATAAAAGTCAGAGTGATCTTCCTCGGCTTACGACCCAATATTTCCACTGCAAATCAGGCACTGAACCAGTGGTGGGATTCCAAGTTTTTTACTACCGGTTCTGCGGGCGTGGCTAGGTGGGTGTGGCAGGGGAAGGATATACTGCAAAATCTCCCTTCCCTCCCCACCCCGCTAACCTGCTTTCCAGCTCCGTTCTCCTGTGCAGGGCAACCAAAGGAGACCCAGCCGATCAGCTGGGATTCAATGGGAGGCAGAGAAGAGATGGGGGTTGGCGGGGCCAGTCAGGGGTGGGATTGGCCGGTTCTCTGAACTATTCCAAATTTCCGCTACCAGTTCTCCAGAACTGGTCAGAACCAGCTGAATATACCACCTCTGCACTGGGCCCAGCTGCTCCTCCTCTTCCTCATCAGCCACCTCCAGATCTGGGGGCTGTTGACTCTCCACCCCCTGCAGAGGGGATGGAGCCTCGCTAGCAGCGGTGGATCTTCCGTCCCAAGGACCAGCCCATAGATTCCCACTGCTCTCCTCTCCTCTGCCTTCTGCACATCCACCCATCAGGCACTGGACCCAGCTGTTCCTCCTCTTCCTCATCAGCCACCTCCAGATCTGGGGGCTGTTGACTCTCCATCTGAGGGCTGATGGACGGCCCAGGCACCGCCTCTGTCTCTTGACAGCTCCGTTCCCTCTGGCCGACAGGCCACAACAAAAGGGGGCTTAGGAAAGGGAACTGTGATGGGTACTCGGGTGGTTTTCAAAAAGTAGCCTGAACAACCATTTGACCGGGATGGTATAAGGTCTCCTGCCTTGAGCACGGGGGTGGGGGGGGTGGGGGGGGGGGGGGGGGGTTGGGCTAGAGGCCCTTCGAGGTCCCTCCAGTCCTACGATTCTGGGTTCTACGAGCGGGGAACGGACTGATCTCTGCAGCTGCAGCAAAATCATTCACACGACCCAGCTAGGCCAACCCGAACCTTCTGGGATTTCCTCTCCATGACTTCATTGTGAAAGGGAGGTGCAGAATTTCACGATGAAAAGTCCTGCAAACGTGCAAATAACTTCGCAGGCCACCTGTAGGACTTTGGCATGCGATACGGAGATGGGGTGCAATCAACTTTTTTTTTTCCCCCCCCCAGCAGGGCCTCTGTAACCACTAGGGACTGTCCTGGTGCAGAATAACAAAGTTGGAAGGGACCTGGGAGGTCTTCTAGTCCAACCCCCCTGTTCAACCAGGAGACCCTATACAATTTTAGACAAGTGGCTAAAAAAAACCTAACCCGAATCATTCTGGATAAATGGTTGTCCGATCTCTTCTTAAAGACCTTGCAGTGGTGGAGCACCCACAACTTCTGGTGGCAAGCAGTTCCACTGGTTAATTGTCCTCCCTGTTAGGAAGTTTCTCTTTAGTTCTAAGGTTGCTTCTCTCCTTGATTCGTTTCCATCCGTTGCTTCTCGTCCTGCCTTCAGGGGCTTTGGAGAAGAGTTTGACCCCCCTCTTCCTTAGAGTAACCCCTGAGATACTAGAAGACGGCTATCCTGTCCCCCCAAGTCCTTCTCTTCCTTAGGCTAAACATAGCTAGTTCCCTTAGCAGTAGTTTCTGGTGCACACAACAACTGCCCTATCTTGACAGTCACAGCACATCCACCCAGTTCCCTTGTATTTTAGGAGGTGTCCTATGGATATGAAAAAATGCAATTCCTTCTAAGGGAAGATGAAGCTATAAAGGGGATTAAATAACCCTCTTTGACAGCCCTTCAAATATTGGAAGACTGCTATCCTGTCACTCCTAGTGCTTTTCTTTGCTTCTTTATTAAACTAGACATACCCAATGCTCTGGTCCTGGTCTGCTTTCTTTGTTTGGAAAGTCAAGAGGTGGGTGGGTGGGTGAGGCGAGGTGTCATATAAGCATCCAGGTGAGGTTTTGGGGTGTTTAGATCTCTCAGCTTGGCTATTTTCCTGCAGACGTTCCTTTACTCAAACTAGGTAACAACATCAGTGCTGGAAGGGAGTAGGGGAAGACAAAGGAGAAGGAGGAGGAGGAGGAGAAGCAGGAGGAGGAGGAGGAGGAGGAGGAGGAGGAGGAGAACTATGGGGTCCTTGATGCTTTCTGAGCTTGGTGGTTTTCTTGCAGATGTTTCATGACCCAACTAGGGAACATCAGCAGTGCTAGAAGGAGTGGGGTTTGCAGAGAGGAGGAGGAGGTGGAGGTGGAGGTGGAGGTGGAGGAGAAAGAGAAGGAGAAGGAGAAAGAGAAAGAGAAAGAGAAAGAGAAAGAGAAAGAGAAAGAGAAGGAGAAGGAGAAGGAGAAGGAGAAGGAGAAGGAGAAGGAGAAGGAAAAAAGAGAAGGAGGAGGAGCAGGAGAAGAAGAAGAAGAGGAGGAAGAAGAAGAGGAGGAAGAGGAAGAGGAAGAGGAAGAGGAAGAAGAAGAAGAAGAAGAAGAAGAAGAAGAAGAAGAAGAAGAAGAAGAAGAAGAAGAAGAAGAAGAA